TGCTGCTCCCTCCCCTTGTAGAGAGTGGGGGGAGAGGGACAGGGCAGCCACCTGCTGATCCCTGCTTCTTCCCCAGGGTCTGGGGAATGAGTGAGGCGGTATTGCTTCATAGCTCCGTCTCGTCCCTCTGGTCTGGAAGAGGAGAGAGCTATGGGGCAATGTCCCCTACGCTTCTCCAGACCAGGGTGTGGGAAATTTTTCCCTGCCATTCCCTACCCCCTTGAATGGGCGGAGTGGAGCAGCCAGGCTGAATGCCTGTATTGCTCTTTCCCCCGAAAAGATTTATAGCAACGGACATTTCTCAGAAATTTCCACTGCCAGAAATTAACACCTGTTTCATTAATATAAATGTTTTTATGTTTATATTAATGAGAGGGGTGTGACCTTCATACAACTCTCATGTCCAAAACTACAGGTACAAATTTCCCCACTTTGATCAAAAGGTACAGATATGTAAAACAACATTTATATTAATGAAACAATATTAAATGCATACAGGTAATGAAATACAATTGTATTGTGTAAAAAAAATCAGGTTTTAAGTAATATTTAGAAGCAAATGAAATGGAGTTTATATATGCTTCAGCACTGTTTGTAGTAGATTAATATGGTCTGACTAATAACCCTAGTAAATTCTAGTTTTGAATTATTTCAGAACTCATCGTTCCTTACAAGATTTTGTAAACTGTAATTTAACAGCAATTATAGTTCATTGCTGAGATACATGTTTATTTTAATTTAGTGCATTTGTAATTATTTTCATCTAATTATTATTAAATATTTTAAATGACTCATTTGTTTCAAACTCAGTTTAAGTGATCATTGATTAATTTTTCCAGTAACTCTCTTTTGTGCTCCTGAAAATAGCATTTTGGAGCTTAGAAACAACATCTAATTACCATAACAATCAACTGTGTTGTTTATACATAAATGGCAGTGTTCACTTTGTTGCCCAATTCATAATGATACATCCTTATTCAATAAAGCAATGAGAGTATATGTCATTTTTAAGCACTTGATTAAACCCACTGACATCAGTGGATTTAATAGAACAACAACAAAAAACACAACAAAAGGAAAAAAAATAGCCCCATCCTAGTGCCAATGATGTCTAAGAGAGTTTTATTATTTACTTCAATGGAGCTAAAGTTTTACCCTGAGTTATATTTTATCTGTTTCAAATGTCTCTAATTCCTTTCCATGATCATAACAAGTATTTTAAAGGTGTTTAGATACTAAAAAAAAAACCTACTGACTTCACTTGAAAGCTTGAACCATTCTACAGAAGTAGAGAAGTGATGAAAATATCCCATATTCCAAGCTCTGGTTCTCTGCTTTCTTTCAGGGTCATATTCGCAAGATCTTTCTGGCTTCCTGTCTTACAGCATATAGCATACAAATAACTTGTGTTCCTTGTATTTGAAACCAAAAAAACCTTGCTGTTCATAGGTCTAGCTCTATTCAGGTCTAGTCATATTGCGAGCCTTTAGCTGGAGTTTCCATTATATATAGCTATTATCTTTACACACATACACTTAATTGGTCCTTCCACTGAGCCTGAAAGAATTTGGTACACCTATGTTTTATCAAGGTCTGTAATTTTATTTGAATCAAAGATCTGGGAGGGGAGGGGTCAGGTGTCCAAGAAGAGTGGTCACTCCTTAAGGAGACGATCCTCCAAGCCCAAAAGGAGGTAATCCCAACACGGATCAAAGAAAGCAGGAGGGCACAAAAGCCCCCATGGCTCACCAAAAGCATCCGGGAGTGTCTTCTAGCAAAAAGGGAGGCGCACACCTGATGAAAGGGAGGGGCCATCACCAGGGAGGACTTTACTGCGGTTGCTCGGGGATGCAGGGGGGGCAGTAAGGAAGGCCAAGGCGGAGATGGGACTGGGACAAGCTTCCCGGATCAAGGACAACAAGAAGTCTTTTTTTTAAATACATAGGGGGCAAAAAGAAGGTACCAGGTAACATGGGGCCCCTGCAAGACACGCTAGGAAATCTGGTCATCACACCAGACAACAAAGCTAACCTATTTAACGACTTCTTTGCCTCCATTTTCCCGAGCAGGGACTGGATCAGTCACCCCACCGGTCCCCCCTCAGGCCCCAGGGGAGGCGCACCCAGGGCAAGGGTCAGTGAGGATCTAGTCAGGGAACTTCTGGAGGGACTGGATGTATTTAAATCAGTTGGTCCGGACAATCTCCACCCCAGAGTACTGAGGGAATTAGCTGAGGTCATTGCAGG